CCTTGCCTAAAGTCATGCTGTAACTGACCTACTCTGCATATCTACTATATGTACTGCAACATCTCCATGAACATCATCTATCTGGGGAAGGCAAAGTTTACTGCAAGGTGATAAGTATAAAGCAGAACTGAACAATAAATTAAAAGTATTACAGTTGCATTTACGTGTCAGTGTGGATGGTCATTGATTAAGAAATCCCTCAGAAAGGTATTACAATCCAGCTCTTTACAAGTTATCCTTGGTGGGATTGCTCTGGTTTGGGAAAATAACCTGCAGACCAATGCATCTAAAGCAGGCCTTCAGTTTAATGGTAATGTTCCCGAGTCATCTTCTGATAGAGGAAGGGCAGCCTAGATCATACTGTACTTACAGTAATGGTTTCATACATGTGTTAAGTCATAATGTAAACTTAATGTACGCTTACATGAAGCTTATGCTATTAATTCAGCCACAGATATTTGTAAATCTGGATGTATGGCTTAATCTTAGTGTGATGTGTGAACTCAGCTTATTCATCAAAGGTGAAAAAAAGCATGCATGGCACACTGTGCTGCTCATATTGTACATTTAGTAATGTACAATCATTAATCATAAGTTTAAAAATATCTGGGATACTGTCTGAAAGAATCAGATCCATAAACACCTTCTACCAGAGGTTATTAATAACATATCAAACATATGTGATTTCTTACTTCTTGCTTTGATAAGTATCTGATGACTCAGGGAAATGCTTCAGCAATCCAGCTGAGTTATCAGTTATAATGGTGCACAGATTTCCTAGGTGTACTTCTAGCCTCATATACAAAGAAAAATCTACATGCTGTAAGTACTGTATACTTTGATGGAGTTCATAAGTCTACATTGCATAGCATGGATTGTCAGTGGTTCCTCATCTGGCACAACTCATATTCAGAAGTCACTGACTATAGAAAGGTCTTCAATTATGTAGACCATGTCAAGCTGTGGAATGTCCTTAGGAAAATGGAAATCCCAGAACATCTTGTCGTCAGGAGAAATATACTGTATACAGAGGATAGGGAACCACACTCTGAATGAAAAATGGTGATACCAACTGTCTGTAAGTCAGCAATAGAGTGAGACAAAGCTGTGCACTTCTTCCTTATTTATTCAACCAATATGCTGAATTTCAACTGAAATAGGCTGGATTGGAAGATGAGCATGGTTTTAAAACTGGAGGAAGAAACATCAATGGCCTGTGCGGATGACACTACTCTGATAGCAGAAAATACAAAGATGTGCAGACTCTAATAATGAAAGTCAAGGAACACAGTGAAAAAACCGAGATGACTATTTAATAAAAAGAAGATCAAAGTAATGACAACAGTACAGAAACCAGCTTTAGAGGTGACAATAAAGATATTGAAATGGTGAGTAGCTTCTGCTCTTTAGGTAAAGAAACCAACAGTCAAGAAATATGCTGCAGACTAGCACTTGGCAAGGTAGCAATGAAGGTCTTAGAAAAGCTATCTGTATACAGTACTTACAAAGATCAGAACTGTGCAATGGTTTTTCCTGTGATACTCTATGGAAGCGAAAGTTGGACTTCGAAGAAACAGGATAGAAAGAGTATTAATGCTTCTGAACTTTGGTGTTGGAGAAAACTCCTTGGAATACCATGGATAACCAAACAATAAAAACAAAAAAACCCCACATACCACCAAACAGCAAGAACAAATCAATCCAGAGACACAAATGACCATGCTCAAATTATCATATTTTGGACACATTATGTGAAGACCTAACTCCTAACTTCCCATAATGTTGGGGAAAGTGGAAGGAAAGAGAAACAGAGGACAACCTGCAGCAAGGTGGATGAACTCAATTTTAGTAGCGATGGGTGCACTGTTGAGAGACTTGAAAGACCAGACTGGAAAACATCTATCTCTGTGATTGCTAAAGAGTCGACACAAACTTGATGTGACATAATCAGTGCTGAAAAGATGTATGAAATATAAAACACTTTCACTAAATTCTCAAGCTGCAGTCAAGTGCAGATAAAACAACTGGCACTAATACCAGGAAACCCAATATTCATAATTTTTTTCTCTTCTACGTCAAACAATTACCCTCTTTTCTATTCATTGGAAATGGTTTTTATGACTCTTACTCATAGGATGAAAAGATTCAGGGTAATTTTCAAGTGGTATAAATTACATCTTTTAGAAATATGCTTAACGTTGTGATGGGATCAGCCATTTTAATTTACAATAGCGGAAGCTAAAAATGTAGCTAGTCATTTAAAATAATCCGATGTTCATTTTTTTCTCTCTGTGCGTTCATTCCACATCTATGAGCAGACTGATGATGATAATACAAATTACTGGTAATCAGGTGTACCAAAGCCATTTTAAAAAAGGATCTGCAGTCCCTTTCTCAAGAAAAAACTCTTTTGCATTTTTATATTATATAATTATAGATAGTGGATATGTTTTAATTTCTGTAGACCAGATCACCAGATATATTTCATCTGATATTTCTCTGTTTCTCTCATATACTTTTTATAATTGATAAAGGAATGTCATCAGTTTTGATGTGCTGCCATCTGGTGGTTGGATCTACTGCTTAATTCAAGATAACAGTCAGTGGCTATCTTAACAGTTGACCTTGGCTTCCAACAGAGTTTTAGCAGTTTCTTGAAGAGCAACAGCTACCAGCTTCAGACGTCTGGCTTTACTAGAATATAGCATCCATTCTTCCCACTTTTCTATAATATTTATGATCCATTAAAAAGTTTAGCACTGTTAACATGGATGGCTATGGGCACTTAAAAATACCACAGCGTGCTCTTTATTTAGAAATCATTACAATTGTATATCCTGGAATGGATCCAGGGACCTGTGAGCAGAAAGAGAAGAGCTTCTTTTCCACAAATGCTTGAACAAGAATTTGTATAAGAGTTCAAGCAGTGTTGTTCTTTGTGCAGTAGGTTTCCTTATGCAGGACACTTTCACAAACACTTGTGCAAGAATATCTCTAATGTATTTTTCTTTTTCTTACTGGAGATTAAAGAATAAAAGTGTCTGGCAATAAATAGACGTATCCAATTCAGTTCAGTTCTTTTTGTAATATACTGGCAATGTAACGTCAGTAATTGTAGAACCAGTGTGGTCAGGGGTTAACAGAGAAGACCCAGGCTCCAATCTATCTTTAGCCATAGAAATTCAATAAGTGACACTGAGCCAATCTCTCTCTCTCAGCCGACACTACCCCACAAGATTATTGTTAAGGGGGAAAAATGGAGGAGGGAGTAGTATGTATATTACCTTGAGCCCCTGGAGGAAAGGCAGAATATAAGTCTATCAGATAAATACATGCTTATATAGAATAAAATGTGATTCTCAGATGGCTGAGATTCAGAATTGTCCCAGTTGGTTGTGCAGTTATTCAGTAAATTCTGGCTCTTCGTAACTCGATAAACATAATTTCCCAGGTTTTTCTGTCAGTAACTGTTTCCTTGAGTTCTTGTAAGCTCATGCTTGTGTCACCAGTGATATTATTTATTTATGAGACTTCTATAGTTCTTCAATCCCGGCTGTCTTTAATTGGTTGCAATATAACAATATGTTATATAATCATGATAAATACTACAACATAAAATAACAAGTAAAAAAATACAATTCTGTTGTGTCATATTTCACTCAGAACACCAAAACGGAAATCTCTGAAGGCCTTCTAAAACAACCAGGTCTCACCAAGTTGTCAGAAGACATGAGGGAAGGGGCCCATCTCATTTCTGGAGACAAGCTATTCCATTGAAGCCCTGATGGAGAATGTTAGACTGTTAAATGATATGCTGTCAGAATATGGTAGTTGTATATTTCGAATTACTAGCTTCCGTTGGTTCCTGGTGCACATGTGCATCCTGTTTGTGTATCCTTTTTTAGTTTTCTTAAAAAGGATAAAGGTGCTGTGGATTTCAGGAATTCCAGTTCAGAGTTGAAAAATGGCATTTGCTTAAGCATATATCTTCCAACATGGTAAGAGTAGAAGGAAGGCAGAACTAAGGTGTAATGGACAAAGTCTTTATAGTACACTATAGTCATAGCATCTTCTAGCAAATTCTTATATATCTGGATATTTGAGATGATATTTCACAGGCTGGGAAATAGCATATGACATGCTGTAGCCAATGGAGAGCTGTAGCAATTCCCATTTTGTGCAATTAGATTTAAGGTGCAGTCCTACTTGGCCTCTAAATGTTTATCAGAATGAACTCTCTGTGTGGGCTTGTCTATACGTGCACGTGCAAAGAACTATATTTATGAAAATACAATAATAATATGTATAATCACTTTTTATTTTATTTATGTACTAAACTGGCAGATTCTTGTTTTGCAACAATTCAAATAAGATCCTTACCTTTCCCCCACCCCTTCAAATTTAGTAGAAATCAGTGTTCTTCTTGGGCAGCTTGCTTGGAACTGATGATTAGAATGGAAAGTTCTAAATTCTGCTCTGGTTTCATTTCTGGTCTTATTTGTATGACTTCAACTTCTGTCAACAGTTTTTGGGTGGGAAAATGTCATTTTTGTTGAAAGAACTAACATGCACTCAGCCTTGGCAGCTGAATTGGTAAGAGGAACACCACACACTAAGCATTTATTTATACAAGCAGTTCCTTGTACAGGTACATATATACGTGAATATTTAACTCCTTGCAAGTACTGTTTATAGGTCTATTAACTTTGTGTATCTATGGAGAACCTGAATTGGATTCTCCTGTAATACCTTGTCCAAAGTCTTTGTTGTCCAGTAAAAAAGAGGCTAAAAATTAGATGACTAAGCCCCTTCACACTCCCATACCCCACCTTCTGTTGAATGAGAACAACCTTTCTTTTTCTCCATTGCAGCTTATTACACTATTGAAGGATTGGAATTTTTATTTATTTTTTAATTTATTGTTTCTTTTCTTAAGAACAAAAAAAAAATTAACTAAATGTTTTAGTGATTTTAATTTTTCTTCTTTTCTTCCCCCCCAGTTTCCTCATAGTGCTGATCTGCCTTATATTCAGTGTGCTTTCCACGATTGATCAATATGCAGCTCTGGCCACAGGGACATTATTTTGGATGGTATGCCTATGGATATTTGCTTAAGCAATGTATAATTTGCATGTATTTTGAGGAGAGTTAAAATTGAGATACAGATATGTATTTATAGGAATGTACATATTTGGTAATGTTATTTGGATGTATTCTGCTCTGCTAAAATGCCCAAACACTGTAATATGAAGTGTAATCAGAAACTTATCAGTACACATTTTACAACACTTTCATCTTTCTTTCCTTATGGATTTGTATCTGTATGAGAGAAAAATAAGAAATGTTGGAATAACATGGAAGGAAAAAGTAGATTTGTGCAAAACCTGTAGCTCCAGAAATGGAATGTTCTGTAGAAGTCCAAATTGTTCTCTTTGTATTCTGGATTATGTTAATCTGGCCATTCCAAGGGTAGTCCAATGGTTTTCAGAAAGTTAATCCTCCAAACGATAAGCATTTTGTGATGTTTCTAAGATGATGGTCCCCAGATAAAACACTTATGTTTTGGGGACCACATCCAGAGCACACCAGCTGCAGTTTGGAGGATTAACTTCCAGAATATCATTCAGCCATACCTGTATTGGTGTGGTCTAGAAAAGAAGCATAATGTTCCAGAGAATTTTGTTTCCAGAACAGTAGGTTTTGGACATCCCTACATAGAAGGGAGTATCCTCTAGATTCCCCTACTAAGTTCCATCAATTGGGTGGGATGATTGAACAATATCAAATCTTGTATGACAATTCTCTAGGCAAGAGTTAAAAACCAGTCATATAGAGATTTTAAAAACTCTCTTAATGTTTTTAGTATTTTCATCCAGGTTAAAAATCTGTGAGAGCATGAAGCCTCAGTTGAGTTTATAGCAAATAGCTGAGAATGTGAGAATAACCTTGGAAAACAGGGGGAAGAGATGCCGCCTAGGGAACAATCAGATAAAAGAAGGAGGAACCCTCTGAGTAATGGGCAGAGAAAGAAACTTAGAAAGGACCCGCTCCAACTGATTAGGCAGTAAATAGAGACAGTGGGAGATTTGTACTTTCAGACTTGAAAGATTTTGTTAATGTAGCCTAACAATAAAGTAGAAGTAGCTCATCTGGTCGTGCTTCCTGTCTGGTTTACTTGGGAGGGCTGACAGAACCTGAGGGTGCTGTATCTGATAATAGCCTAACTATTCTGACATTAGAGTAGGATACAGAGCATGGGAGACCTTTTTTGTTACTATGAAAGGTCATGCCTTTGTCACTGTCTTACCCCATACTGTTCCAAGATTTGGAATTTCTGACTCTGCTCGGTAAGACCCCGAGCCTTTTCTCTCCTAAAAGATGTGCTCCAACTATTACTGTGTCTTTGGGCTCCCTTTTGTCATGGCTGCATGTTTGGCTTTGGGACCTTGGTGTATTCTGTGTTATGCTATGCCACTTTAAGCTACGTGATCTGATATAAATGCTCAACTTTTTAATTCAATTAACAAATAACCTTTCTGTTTTCAATTGTTCCTGTTGCAGCATTTAGGGACAATTTTTTCTGTTGCTGAAAGGTGTTCTTGAAATAATATAAACATAAAGAAGGAAGGATATCCAGTTTGGTGTAGTGGTTAAGACACCAGGCTAGAAATGGGGAGACCATGAGTTCTAGTCCTACCTTAGGCACAAAGC